CAGTACAGCTGTGCCCTTAGGACAGTGTAGCGTGCCCAGAGAAACAGTAGATGCAAATTTTAAAATATGATGCGCCACATTGACTCGCACAAAATAGGAAAGATTCGCTTTAAATTAAAACATTGTCCTTAATTGTGGGTGTCGCTTTAAGTCAATAACCTTAAATTGAATCGCTTTAAATCGACATTCTACTGTATAGGTAACTTGTATTATTACATCTTATTTATTTTGAAAGATAATAAACATCTTGTAAGAGCTGATGAGTCAGTTTTTTAACATGTAATATTAAATTGTTGTGCTTTATGAATTGCAAATATTTTCAAAGGCAACAAAAAATCAATAACATTAACACTTGTTTTTAACAGCATACACCACAAATCTGTAAAAAACATTAATTTTAATCAACAGAATTCAACATTAAACTGAAACGGACATCTCTCATAGGTGTGAATCCTCAGAGGCAACCGGAATGCCTTTATCACAAATTATATATCGTCATCTGGCCACCTGTCCATTAAATGACAGTCTCTCGAACCATTTCCCACCTCACTCATACGGGAAAATACTTAATAGTTGTAAAAAAAATCATCACTGTTGTGTTATTAGATTAACTGCAAAAAATAACAAGATGACTAACAATTTGGCCTAAATCAGCTAATAATCAAATATTAGAACATCTTGGCAGCAATGTGTCAACTTATGGTTATACAAAATACTACAGAATACAATTAAATTGGATGTTGAATAGGTGAAGAACTCCAATAATCAGTTCATAATTTTGCATTACTATACAAGATTGACCAACAGTAATTTCTCCGTTAGCTGGGATCTTTCAAACCCGGAAGTCTGATAGATTTTAGATAAACTACTTTGGATTATTATAGTAAAGAAATGAAGTTTCTAACTTAATTAGAACTGCATTAATGGATTCCGGTAGTTCAGGCTCGAGGAAAACTTCACAAGCACCCAGAAACATTCTGGGGAAGTGGGCGAGTGTCTGTCTGTGCAGGATGTTTAGTTTAGACACTGAAACTTTTCCCAGTAACCGGAAAAGGTTCTGGGGAGAAGGAGTTTTTCCGGGTTTGAGAAAGTCGTCTCGTCGCCCAGAAATCTCTCATCCTCGGAAGTGCTCTGCACCAATTGTGTCGGCTAACGGGGATATCACTGTGTGCTCGGTCGCATAGGCCTCCACACAGGCATAGAGCAGTACACTGTAGAGCAGCCTTCACACATTTACACTGCCCCCTGCATCTTTTCTTGCTACGAATGTGGCAGAGTTTATTTCTTGTCTTTACCCAGAACCGTCAACTCGTCCATTATGAATAGGTTATTTTGCCATTCTTTATTAACATACTGAAGAAAGAATCCCCATTTGCAGGTGACATGATGCAACATCTTCCCGAGGCAGTGGACCAGAAGGTATGACACTGTAGACACTGGGAAGAATACTTTCCTACCATCACCAAGTGGCATCATCAACATAACCAGCCAACTGAAGTTAACCAGAGATGGACACAAACTTCACCTGCTGCTGTATGGTAAGTCCATTGTTATTAATAGCTAAACTCTTAATTGAACATATCTGTACTCAAGGCCATAACAGGGTGTAAGACAGTACAGTAGGCCCTGTTCAGAGCTAAGAAGGTGGATGGATATTGACAAAGTTTTGCATAGAGATGGGTAGATATGGCGTAGGTATATGGAGCGGAGGGTGGAAACCAGTTAGGTCAAGAGATGCACAAGTCTAAATGTGGAAAGGAAGAGAGCCAGGGGTGGTCAAGTTTATCAACTTTCCCTGCCTAACCTAACCTACTAAAGTTAATGGATAGGGAAGACTGCTGGAGATATGATGGAAGATTACAGAGGGACCCACCAAATTCGCAGGGGTTAGGTTCTCAAAATGGCTGTCGAATAACATTTGCGGACTGAGGGTGGGGGGGATACATTTTTACTTGTGTACAAAGAAATGTATATTCATTTTGTGTTGGCCTTAGGACAATTATTTCTTTTTACTGTATTGTATATATATGTGTGTAAACACACACACAAAACACATACATACAAATAAATAATACTGTAATGGGAAAATACTCTCACAAAAAATAACAAACAAATTTATTAAAAATGTGAGTCCACCCTCAAGTCCGTGCTTTATTATTAAGTCTGTGCTTTATTACTTTAATAATAAAGCACAGACTTGAGGGTAGACTCACATTTTTAATAAATTTGTTTGTTATTTTTTGAGAGAGTATTTTCCAATTATTATTTATTTGTATGTGTTTTGTGTGTGTGTTTACACGCATATACCGTATATACTCGTGTATAGTTTGAGTTTTAAGACCAAATTTTTAGGCAATAAATTGGGGGTCGACCTTTTCATGGGTAATAGTTTCGTTAGGTTGAATCCGTGCATGATAGGAAGGGCTAGGAGCAACTTTTAGTTTTAGACATGAAATATATTTACCGGTTACTGCCAGTAAACAATGGAAACGTAAAATATGTACCAATTAGTAATGAACAGCTGTGGAGTGCCTTCAGCAGATGATGCTCACCACCTTACAATAGGCTAACCTACCTTACAGCGTGCGTTCAGTAGTCTATGTTGAAGTTGAACCTGATGACACCGTCATGAGTAAAAACTCGCACAATATTCATTGACTGTCCTTATGTTTTAGTCTTTACCACCATTGGTGAATAGAATTTGTTTTACATTTGTAAATATTATTTAAAACATATATGAACAGTAAATAAGTGTTGCTCTCATATTCATATGTAGAGAAATGACGATACGTTTTCACATGTACGCACTTACTGTTCATACGTTGGAGTTCCCAATCGTCTCTCCTTATTTCTTTACCATTAGTGGTAAGCTACTGCTAGTGTTCCATTTATCAACATTAAATAGCATTACTTAAAACATATATACAGGTAAATTTTCAGCCACCGGCTGCAACTCTATTAATAAACCGTTTATTATTATTATTATTATTTTATAATTTTTTTTTAATTAAGTTCACTACAGCTACAACCAGGGTCTTAATTTCTTCAGTTTCTTATGTAGAACCATCGCCACTCACGAAAACAATGCCGTCTTGTCTCCTCGTTTGTGTTTTAATATTCTACTTATTATTAATGAATTGCATTGTTCATTTCACATATATAAACATTAATTCAATGAAATACATATTCGGTAATAAACAATAATGGATCTTTCGTACATATTCTTAAGATAAATGTCTGTTTCCTTGAGTGCACACGTATACATTGGAAGTAAACACTGACAACAATGTCGTCTCTTATACTCTTGTGTGTTTTAATATTCTAAGTATTAATGAATTGTATTGTTCATTTTGCATATATAAAGATTAATTAAATCAAATACATATTCAGTAATAAACAATAAAGAATCTTTTGTATATATTCTTAAAAAGATAAATGACGCGGCATCCTTAAATGTGCACGTATATGTTAGCGTTCCCAATCCATCTCTTTTTTTTTGCCATTACTGTACTTTCATTTTCTTTCGTTGTTCAAAAGATGTTACCGTAATCGCTTTTTGAATGGTTTTCAGTTAAAAAAAACTGTTGTATTACAATAATATTCTATCCTAGTTGACTTGAATAAATACTTGAATGGAAATATGAGATATTTTTTATGAAACTACCCGTGTTTCAGTGTAAAGTGCCATAATAATAAATGGTAAACAATTTGCCTTCGGTGCTCGGTGTTTCTGGCACGGCGAGCCTCAGTTTATAGGTTGTAGAGTGTTTTTAGTGAAGGTTTTCTGAAATGAGTTTTATATGCTATAAAATATGCCATTACCCTCAAAAACTTGAGTCGACCTATACACGAGGCATAGCATAAATAAATGATTTCTTGGTCAAAAATTAAGGTCGACCTATACACGAGGTAGAATTATAGAAAAGTATATACAGTATATACAATACAGGTAGAAAGTACTGTCTCAAGAACGAATGGCTCCCTATCCCGTCCAGAAAATCTCGGCAACTTTAGAACTACCCTTGGATAGTCTTGGGTACATCCAGAGTGTCATCCGCATATAATCAAGGTCTGCGAACTAAAAATCCGTGAATTGACAGGGTATGTTGTACTGTGTGACAAAATAATTGTATCACATCAAAATACTTAAGATAAAAACAATCAAATATGTAAAACTTAAAGGTACATAACAGAGTTGTCAATTATTGTTTTGGGGAATATTAATTAAATTACTCTAGTAATGGTACAATGTTTCTTATTAAGTTATTGTAGGAAAATGCCTGGTTTTTATATATACAGTGGTCCCTTGGTTAAGGAACACAATTCGTTCCAGAAGGTTGTTCGTTAACCGAAACCATTGTTTCAATGGGTTTTTGGGTAATTGGTTCCAGCTCACCGAAAATTAATAAAATACACTTTCTTTGAGGTGTGTGTGTAGAAGGCTCCTGGTTGATGATGATGATGATGAGAATTAGAAGTAGGGGTGGAGGAGAAAGGAGAAGAGAAGGAAGTGGGGTGGAAGAGAAATCACCCCATGCTTCATGCCGCCATTTCATCCATAAAATTTTAAGTTCACTTGGTGTAATTCAAGATTACAGTATTTAATTTAAATCAACACTGCACTGCACTAAATATTATCAATATGTAAAATAAATTTCAGAATGACCAATAATTGTACTCTAAAAACGTAAAAATAGTCCAGTCTTATTACTAGACTTGTCTCATTCTTGCAGCAACACTAATTGGCTCAGTTTCTATTATTGTCCTTCTTGAAGACTGTGAGCGTGAGCCTCGAGTGTTAGTACAGTGATCCCTCGGTTAACGAGCGCCTCGGTTAACGAGATTTCGGTTAACGAGTTACCTTCCATAAGATTCTTAACTTCGGTTAACGAGCAATCCCTCGATTAACTAGTTTTTTACAAGCCGACCTCAACATGTTTTCGCTTGCATTTGGCGGTCCACCAGCTGTAGTATTAGTCCGCCAATACAGTAATCGGTTTTAGGGCTTAAATTCCATACTATTTAGGTAAATATCAAGAAGTTTATACAATTCAATAATTTTAAAAGTTTAATATTAATATTTTTTAGTCATTTTAACAATTATTGAACATAATTGAAGGTAAAGAAACTAGTTTCTGGCACGCCATCCAGCCTGTTAACACACAAACAGGCGTTAGTCTCTCTCTCTTTTCAGTGGAGGTAACATATTGCTTGAGACTCTCTTCAACTAAATGCTTTTTTTCTGTTTCCAAGCAAATTATTGGTCATTTTGAAATTTATTTTACATATTGACAATATATTATGCAGTGCAGTGTTGATTTAAAGAAAATAATCTTGAATTACACCAAGAGAACTAAAATTTTATGGGTGAAATGGCACCATGGGGTGACTTCTCTTCCACCCCAATGCCTTCTCTTCTCCCTTCTCCTCCATCCCCATTCTAATTCCCATCATCATCATCCAGGAGCCTTCTACATACACACCTCAAAGTAAGTGAACTTTCTACATTTTTTGTTGAATTTAGGCAATTTTCTGTGAGCTGGAACCAATTACCCAAAAACCCATTGAAACAATGGTTTCGGTTAATGAGCAACATGCTGGAACGGATTGTGCTCGTTAACCGAGGGACCACTGTAGAGTTACTCCCACGTATTTGGGGTTTTGTTCTCATTGGGTTACAAGTATTACTTAAAGCTACACTTGTGATGTGCAACTCTTATATAAAATCCACAACATTTCTCAGTCTGTCTTCCCTAGGTACTTTTTAATGAGGCTGTCTGTTTATTTCTTATTGTTCTCTCATCACATGTTGTGTTAGTCAGCTGCAGCTGCCACATTATTACTGTGGGTATTGATGTAACTTTCTTGTTAGTGTTTTAGTGTATCGTAAAAGCATAAAATCACTAACACCTGCGATGAACTGATATTCCAGCCCTGGTGTGCCACAAGAAATATGAACATTAGCTATTGCTGAAACTCAACTAAAAATTAACCTAATGTGGATTGTAAATACAAAGTGTTTCTCAGTCATATTTTGTTTTCTTTTAAGTATATTAATAACATTTAGCTTCATTTTCAAAGCAGAATTTAATCATTAATCAGTTATGATACTTTGCAAATACTGCATGCCCTTCAAATTCGGGGGGCATTTTTATTTGTGTGCAAGGAAATGTATTTTCCCTGTATGTGTTTGCCCTTAGGACAATTATTTCTTTTACCTGTATTGTATATATGTGTGTCTACTCACACATATACAGCTCCTCCCCGACTTACGACCACTCTCACTTACGACCTGCCTCGGTCATACCAAAATTTTGTTAAATTACGTATTTTCGAGTCCCAACGTCAGTGATTGCGCTGTGTATTGACAAAATTTTCGTTTGTAATTCACTTTAAAATGGCTGGCAAGCTTAAAAGTAAGAGTTTTGTGGTGTTGAGAAGAAAAAGAGATGCCCATTTTAGATTTGCTATGTAGTATTTAAGCATTTTCGACTTATGGCCATTTTGACTTACAACCTGGATTTGGGTCCCTAACCCTGTCGTCAGAAGGAGAGCAGCTGTATGCAATACAGGTAAAGAAAAGCTCCCTGTCCAGGCTGCGAAAATGCCAGCAAATTTAAAACTACCCTTAGACATGCTTGGGTACATCCAGTGTATCATCCGCAAGTAATTGAGGTCTGCAAATTTAAAAGGCATGATGTTTTATTTTTATTTTTTTACTTTGTTACACTTCAGTTAAATAAACTTTTATTGAAGTAATTTTGAAGAAAGCTGCTTTGTACATGTTTTAATTTTTACATAGTAACAGTGCAGTACTTTATCTTAAGTAATATTTTCAGGTTCTTTCTCCATCACTGCCTTAAGTGGACCTGAATTGAGCTGGACCTGATGTGAACTAGACTAAAGTGAGCTGGACCTCAGGTGAACTGGAACTAAAGTTAACTAAACCTGATGTTACTGCACCTGCAAGTAAAGTAGACCTAAAGGACTATCTGGTATTTATTTAATATTGTTCTGGTTGTAATATTAGGAAGGTTCTACCGGCATTCCCTAGTTTTTAAGAGTTCTGTTCCTGAAAAACCACCCCACCATCCCCTCCCCCCAGCTAGAAGGTGATAGGATATTTATGGTAAAGGTGTTTTTTGGCTTATAACTTGCATTGCTGGAATCCTTGCAAGATAGCAATTAAATTGAGTATAAACATCTCACAGTTTGCACTAGAGATAATTTTTTTTAGTCCTTTAGCCAAGTACATTTGAGTACAGAGTGAGTACAGTTATATGTTGCTGAAAATTATGGCTTTTTCACAGGGAAACGTCTGTATAACTATCCCCAGTAGTTAGGATATTATGTACTGTATTTTGGGTGTTTTTTATATAATTATTTATCGTTTTTATACGTTTAGTACATTTGCTGGAAGATTTTTACAGCTGGTCCCTCCTTTTAGTTTTGATTTTTGAGGGTTCACTGTAATTGTCCTAGGGCAAATGCTTGAAGGGAATATACATTTATTTGCACACAAGTAAAATTTACCTTCCCCCCCCTTCAACCCATCAGCAAATGATATTCACGGATTTGGCAATTTACAGCTGTTTTGAGACCCAAACTCCACGAATTTTAAGGACATGCTGTACTGTATGTATAATATTTTTTTAGGGATTAAAATTCTTGCGTTTCCGTGGATCATTACGATGAAAGATAGCTCCCTGGTACAGTACAGAGTGAGGGATTGCCGGTTGTATGACTTCAGACTACTAAAGTTGATTGAAAGGAATGGCTGTATTTTACCAAGTTAATGGATAGGGGAACTGCCGGAGATATGATTGATGAGTATTACAGTGAAGGAGGGAAAGCTGTTGGATGTATGACTAAAGACAATACTGAAATATGAGCAAGAGAAAAGGCTGATGATGTGAATTAAAACTGTGCTGAAGTAATGTATAAGTGAGGAAAACTTCACTAGAATGTAAGACTTATTGTACTGAAGCAGAAAAAGAGTGAGGGAGGACCGTAGACTAGACTGAAGTTTTATGAGTGAAGGAATGATTTGTACTACTTAATCTGCACTGGATTTATTTCTTTCGTTTCTTCCACATCCTAGGTTAGGTTTGTCAGAGCCAACCATATAGAGGGTCATCTGACACCACCATAGTTTTATCTATCAACTGCAGCTGACCCCAACATGAAGGGCATTTCATCTATCAACTGCATCTGAACCCCTTTCCCCTACCCCTTTAGAGCGGGGGTCAGAAGTCTGTTCTGGGAAGTACCTTACTCTCGGAGCATTATAACTCTGCGTTTATGGCTCGGACATTTCTGTATCTGGGATAAGGAGCTTCCTGGAGGAGGCGACTGGCCCTAGGAGCAGCAATTGCTGTATCTAGATGTCAGCGTTAGGCTGCTTAGGTTCCCTTTTTTTTTAAGGATCTTCAGGCGTGCCTCTTCAAGGATAAACTGAATCCTAGGACAAGGAGAGCCGGTCCTGAAGCAGATTGGTACCATTTTTTTTATCCTTTTGAGCTGGGGTCAGGAGGCTTCTTCCAAGAGGTAAATGGCTTTTGGACCAGCATGTCCAGGAGTCAGGATCCTCTCGGGGGAGAACCCTGGCCCTCGGACCTGGCATCAGTCAGGTTCAGGGACTCCACATTTTTTTTTCTTATCGTTGCCCTCCTCCTTTATCAACTGGAATGGACATTGTCAAGTCCAACATAAACAAATGGAAATGAAATTGTAGAAGAAAAGTGCAAGATTTTAATGGTTTATTATGAGAATACTGTACTGTATTGGTGTAATGTCTGTGTGTATTGTCTCTTTTCATCAGTCATCTATACAATAGTCACTTACCAATGTAATTTGAAGAAGCATCAACTACATTTGTCCCCTTTCCCCCACCCCTTTAGAACGGGGGTCAGAAGTCTGTTCTGGGAAATGCCTTACTCTCGGAACATTATATCTCCGTTCTAGAGGATTCGGACATTTCTGTATCTGGGATAAGGAGCTTCCTGGAGGAGGTAACTGACCCCAGGAGCAGCATTTGCTGTGTCTCGGAAGTCAGCGTTAGGCTGCGCAGGTTCCGTTTTTTTTAAGGGTTTGGAATTCCTCATCCAGGAAGTGCCAAACCTAGGACAAGGAGAGCCGGTCCTGAACTTGGTTAGCCTTTTTTTTATCCTTTTGAGCTGGGGGTCAGGAGGCTTCTTCCAAGAGGTAAATGGCTTTTGGACCAGCATGTCCAGGAGTCAGGATCCTCTCGGGGGAGAACCCTGGCCCTCGGACCTGGCATCAGTCAGGTTCAGGGACTCCCCATTTTTTTTTTCTTATCGTTGCCCTCCTCCTTTATCAACTGGAATGG